AAATTCATTTTTTTTAATTCAATCCAAACAATGTATTTCAAAATACATGTATTTTAAATACGCTCATCAAATTCAAATTTAAGTTCCCAAACACAACCTAAAGGTAATTGAATTTAGGTGAAATACATGCATTTCACACCTGGGTAATTTGAAAGGATAAAACCCATGTATTTCAATTTCACCCTCAAACCCATGAATTTCAGCTCAAATTGAATTTCCTCTGCACTCTCTTCTCTCACCGACGGTGATGAAGCCTCCATTGTTCGTCCATCATCTCCTCTGTCGTTGCTCTCCACCTTCTCATTGTCAATCACTCACCACTCCGTAATAGCATGTTCTCGATCAAGCGCATCTGCCCCATCTTTTGGATTCAAAACCTAGTAATTTTGCGTTTAAACCCAGTATTTTTGGTTGATTACAGATTAGTGTAGCTCAAAATTTGTTGGCTGTGGACTTCTTTTTGTGGCTTGCGTTTCCTTGGAAGAAATTGAAGGTACATGTTGCATCTGCCCCATCTTTTGGATTCAAAACCCAGTAGTTTTGTGCTTAAACCCAGTATTTTTGGTTGATTATAGATTAGTGTAGCTTTTGTTGGCTGTGGACCCCTTGTTGTGGCTTGCGTTTCCTTGGAAGAAATTGAAAGTATGTGTTGCAACTGTCCCATCTTTTGGATTCAAAACCCATTTTTTGGTAGAAATTGATTCATGTGGGCAGAAATGGATTAGTTATTTGGAGCTTGTTGTTTGATGTACATGAGAAATAGTTTTATCATATTATTTTGTGTTCTAAGAAATTTGATATGTTTAGTTGGCTCTTTTTTTTTTTTTTTGTTATATCTCGATAAGTTCTTGGACTAGAAGTAGTCAGTTTATACACAAAATCTCATTTCAGTTAGGCAGGCTAATGTATCAAATATGCTACAGAAGCAAAATACTTAGGTACCTTAAAGTGAATTGTTGCATCGTGAAACATGCTTGGCTTTGGTATACCTGAAATGCTTCAATTTAAAAGTTAATAACACCCAAAACATGGTTCACCACTTTGATGGTTGGTTTATCACATGGGCTCTCATTACCTAACTAGAACACATGCTTTATTTTTTTTAGATTGATTATTTTCAAAGTTCTGTCTCTGCTTTCCGTGTGGTTGTTTATGGTTCACATTGCTTATTTTTGAAGTTTTGGCTCTGCTTTCTCTTTGTGGTGATTTAAGGTTCACTCCATTAATTGGTTGCTTTCCACATGCAGGAGCACATTATAAAGACTCACTTTGGTTTTGTCTCTGTTTCTGTGTTTGTAGACCAAGACAAGCCAGCCCTTATTGCCTATCCTAATTTAGCTTTAAATCATAAATGGCATATCAAGTTACTCTTAGCCTTTGTTGTGCTTCTAGTTTTGCATCATTTAGCGTTTGACAGTGGTTTGGTTTTCTTTTATACATATGCATATAAAAATTGCTCTTCCAATATGTTATTTCCAAATTGGCTGAAAAAATTATGATATTTCTTCCAAGTCCTAACTTATGAGATATTTATTTTCAAACTAAGGTCCATAAGAAAGTATATCCATCTTGGTCAGCAAAGCTTTTAACTTGAACTAAAAGTTTAAATGCTTCTGAATTTCTACAATCACCAAGTTGTTTCATCCAATGATAGCTGCCCGGTTCTAGCATAAGCTTTTTCTCTTGTAAATAAAAACTCTTTTTTTTTTTTTCTCTTGTAAGTCAGGTTTTGAAACCATCTACTTTCTTTTGACTATGGTGGAACTTTATGTCCTTTTAGATAATTTCTAACAAAATAGGAAAATAGTTAGCATGCATTATAGATACTGCATAAACTCTTTACACTGTGATAATCATTGACACATTATTAATGTCACTAATAGCCAATTACTATATTTGTACCATTATTTGAGTTTCAAACTTAGCTCTAGGTAAACTTGGATTCATCTTCTATATAGACATGTATTCTGACATTCTGCCACTAGAAATGAAGGCATCTTTCTCACTCAAGGAGTACATGAACTTGAAAAACAAACCAAGTGGTCAAGAGATATATGAAGTGGTATCAATAGTTTTGGGTCTTTCTCAATAGGAAACATTTAAGGCAGTCCAATTGTTATTAAATGGTGATCCTGAATAATTTTATTTGCTAAGACATTTCCTGATGACAAGAAATATGATTGGCTAGCTTTCCTTTTAGTTTAGGTTGTATATTTAAACATAATTGCCTTTTTATATTTTATATTTTCTAATTTATGGAATCTAATTCTTTGATCTTGTCCTATTATCCAGTTGGTTTCTCTAACACAGGCAGGACATGAAATGGTATGTTCAAAATAAGCATACCACTCACATTTTAATGAATGTGTAGCAACTAGCAGCTTTCAATTTATTAATTCACATTGAAGGTTGATTTCCAGTTCTATCAAAAAAAAATTTTTTTTTTTTTTTTTGGTTATAGGAAGGTTGAAGATTGATTTCCAGTTCTATCAATTTATATAACAAAAGAAAATGGTATGTTTTACATGCCTTTCCCGTTCCTTAGTGAGAATATGTTTAGCAGTGGACTGTCTTCCATTGTGGTCCGCTTATTACTTTTGTTTGGTTCATATTTGGATCTACATGTCAAGTATTTTGTTTAACTTTGAAAAAAAAAAAAAAAAGAATTTGTAGTTTTGGTTAACATAGGAAATGAATATATTGCCTCTATTTTGGTTGGTCTCTTTTTTCCTTTTGAAGACTGCTTTGGTAGATCAGAGATCACTTTATATTCTTAATGGGAACTTGTTTATTAACTATGATCCTAGTTTTACTTATTTTTAAATGATCACTATCATCACAATATTGGTTTTTTCTTTACTCTCATTAATTTCTCTCTTAGCTTGTTACATTTCAATTTTTCAATGGATATGGGTATCATGGAACATCATTTGTTGAATATATATATTTTTGGTCTTTGACTACTTGGTTTCTCTATGTTTGACTAGTTTACTGTTGATGATGTATGGTGTAGGATCTATTCCTCTTCAACTTTCAACCTCAACTCAGTGGTTTACTTCAAAGTTTTTGATGAAGAATGTCATGTTTCTATTTCATTTTGCAATTAAGAAGTATCACCTCAACCACCTTGTTAAGGAACGTAGTTGTTTAAAGTCTTCAACAAAAAATATCATATTTCTATTTCGTTTTACAATTAAGAAGTGTTACCCCAACTACCTTGTTAATGGATATAGTTATTGGAGACTATTTTGTTCTTTTATTTTTTATAGTGAAATTCTTTTATGATAAATCCATTTTGGCAAAAATTGAATATTGTATGACAATAGAAAAAATGAACAAAAAATGGAGAATATGATGACAAATTGATTAGTAGAAGTTGTTGTTCTTTTTTCTTTTTTTATCCAATTTGTTTGTCTTGATGTAATTTAAATAATATTTTGGAAGGCTAAAATTGTTAATTTTGACTTTATTAAATTTAAATAATAATTAGAAGAAGATTTAATTTAATATAATAGAAATTTTCAATTTTAAATGTATAATATTTTAAAATATCTAAATAATGTATTTAAAAATACATATATTTAAAATTTATTTTTTTTGAATTCAATTCAAATAATATATTTTAAAATACACATATTTTAAATACACACATTTTAAATACATATATTTTAATTATAATAATCAAATTCAAATTTAAATTCAAGTTCTCAACCACAATTTTTTAGGGCTTTTATGGGTCACGGCGGACGATAGAAAAATCCGCCTTGAAATGAGAAAGGAACTTATCACGTGTGCTTCACGTGTCAGCTACCTCGTTGCTCCATTAATAGCAAAGTGTTCCTCTAGGTTTCTGCAGCCATGGCTTCAACCTGCGAGTCGGGCATCAGATAGGTTACATTTTCGATTTCCATTCATAGATAGGAAAAAGATTTGATTTTGAGAAATGGGCTGAGGCAAAAAGGGGAGAGCGATCTAAATCAATGGCTCTGAAAAACCTGTAGGTTCTCTGCAGGGTGCCCTGCCTTCATCAGCCCTACACATCAATCCGATGGCATCATAGTACGGGTTTTGTGCTTTGCTGTTGGGCTGTCTGCCAAGGTCGAATCTTCGGTTCTTTCTCGCCGGAGAGTTCATCTTCCGCCGCCTGCCCATCAACCAGCTTCTCCTCACAAACCCGCCTCCATACGCCATTACATTTTATAAATTTAAATTGCAATTTGCCAGCCAGAAAAAGAGCCTCCTTATAGCTCTCTTTCCTGTTTAGTATGAACAAGATCATATTTTTATTCATCCCATGATGAATCGTAAAGAAAAATTATGCCTTTTGATTTGAAGAAGTTTTAAAATAGCTAGAAACTGTCAATTCAAATAATGACCTTTTTCTGAGGACTTGCTCATTGAGAATAAAAAGAAGAGACTGAAATTTTAGGGACAGGCAAACAATTGCATGGAATATGGTGTGCAATGAACACAGCTGGAGAGAAATCTTCTCAAATAAAGCAGGGGAATTTATTCAAATAAAGTAGACTACATAGTTGATTTGAGAACTTGCTAGTACTGAACTGGTTTCAGAGTGACCCCCTGAAATTTGATAACATATTTACCTCATTCTCCTTACCAGCAAACAGCTCCCTGTCCAAAACCCAATTCTCAATCATAATCTGAGAATTCAATGGCTGATCAGCAGGCAAGAGATGCCCAGCCCCCATCACTACAACATGGCTCAAACTCCCCCATTTCTGCACATACCCAGCAAGCTCTCCATTCACCCTCCATACCTTCCTGTCAGCCATTAAGAACTCCCCAGTTCCCTCCCAGTTCATAGTCTTCATCCATGCCACACTCGATACCACACCATCCCTCAGATCATACTGCCCCTGGTACAACAACACCTTGCTATTCTTCACAAGAAACTCCACCTTGTCTTTAACACTTTTCATGACATCTTCATGTAATGCAGCCTCTACTGTATCACTGCATTCCTCAAAAACCATCGACTCATTCACCCCTAGTGCTTTTTTCACCTCTCCAATGTTCAAGAATTTGATTGCCGGACCTGTCTGGTAAGGCACCTGCTTTGTGTAGTCATACAGAGTAGCTAAACCTGTCATGTTCCGCAGCAAATTCAATACCCTGGTTCTAGCATGGGTTGCCTCACTCCAATTCCCCATTTGCACTAAATTGACTGCCTCCCATTGTGCTTTTTCTAGTTCTTTCTTTTGCCTCTCATTTATCAAACCAGAAAAATAAGCATTCACAGCATGAGTAGCTACCTGAATCACAGGGTCAGTTAACCCGTCGCCAATAGCAACACCCCTCAAATTCACTCGTTCTGACTCTGGCAGCTGTGGATTTTTCTTCAAGATATAATACCCAATTGCTGGAACATACTTTCCGGCATAGCTCTCCCCCGAGATATAAATGGGGCGATTCTTAAACAAAGGGTCTAGTGAGATAAACCCCTTGATCGCCGCAAACAGATGTGCAGCAACCGCGTATTGGTCTCTTGGAATTTCTTGAGGCGTTGAAGCAATGCTAAACCCAGTTCCTATTGGGCTATCAAGAAACAGAAGGCCGAATATGCGGTTCCAAGAACCAGAATTGGGTTCGACCGACAAGTGTTCGACGTTTTGACTGTGAGAAGAAACGACACGCCAAGGGCCGAGCTCGAAGAAGTTGCCAATCATGGAGGAGCATCCAGGGCCACCCTGGAGCCAAATCAGAATTGGGGTTTCAGTGAGTGGTGAGATGGGGTTCTGAGCTTCATAAAAAGTGTAGAAAATGGCAGAACTGGAGGAGGGATTGATGGAGAGGTAGCCGGATTTGGTGGGGAGAGCTTCCTCAGGAAAGATAGAAGTTGAAGACAGCTCGGGGAGAAAGGAGAGGAGGAGGAACAAGAAGAGAACGAAGCAAGGGTTTGTTGCAGACTTCCCTGTCGCCATGACTGTGAGTTGTGGAGTATAATTGGCTTGACGCCTTGACCATTGATCTTATTTATCTGGTCCTGTTCTGATGATCTTGTCCTGTTCTCGTGCAAACAAGGCAAAGAATACCGTCGATGTTTCCCCACGCTCCGGCTTAGCCACCAAGGGATCACCTCGTGTGCTCAAGCTCTATGGGATTCCCTCCTTAATTTCCCATTACATCTAAAATAAAAGTTGTTGTTCTGTAACATTATCTAGCTTAGTGGTTATAACTTTCATGAAATGTGCTGCGATATATAAGTTTTGGATTTTACACCCAAACGCTACTTCTCTCATCTCTTACAATTCACCTTAGTTTAAAAAATAATGATAATAAAAATAAAATTTGTTGTTATAATTATTTAAATATTTATCTTTTTTTAATTTATAAAAAATATTTAAATTTTTTTACTATCATTTCTAGTATTTTATTACTCCCTCCTATTATATTTAATTGTCTCATTTTCTTATTAAAGGTAGATTGATTTAATTGTCTCATATTTTATTTTAATAAGATATTAAATATTGATATTTTAATTTTATTCTTATTTTTAAAGAGATAGAAATACATTAGGTTTTTTTGTTTAATTATACATAGTAGTGAAAAAGAAAAGATAAGTTTTAATCATTGTAATAAATGAATTTTTTTGATAATCATAAATGAATAGAGTGAGACAATTAAATCTAATCATGAAATGTATAATTAATTAAGATCTCTTATTTTTTTGCAACTTTCATATGAATTCTTTTTCTTTTCTTTTCTTTTTGTGAATTGTATGAATTTGTTTGATATATTTTTGGGAATAGCAAGATTTCATTCCACTCAAAAACAGTTAAACACATTCATTGACCCAGGCATACCCAGGATTTTTTTCTTTTTGGTTTTTCGCTCAGTATCCGAGGTTTCGTCCCGATTAATCTGGACCCGACCCACGTTGCGCACTTGAAAATGGTGAGTGAGTCTCCCAGCGGGGACTGCTACGTACACAAGGTCTCTAACTCGAGACCTTACTTAAGTTGAAACAAGCCACTAACCACTTGATCCAACCCCTTGTTGATGGCATATCCAGGATTACAGCATATTCTTTCTTAATCTGATATCAAGTTCAATAAATATAACACCTTAGTAACTAAATCTTTAGGAGCATGGAATCCCTGCTTAAAAATTTTGATGTTTCTTTCCTTCCATAAACAATTTATGATAGCAGCAAATGCACTCTTAAAGGCCTTGCATAGTCGACTCCTTCCTCATATCCTTCTACTAATCCATCTCCAACATCTCTCCCACAAGGCAACAGGACAAGGAACCTGCAACTTGATTGAGTACAGCCTCCATACAACTCTAGAGTAGGTGCGATCAAAGAATAAGTGACTCCCAGTCTCATCATGCATACTACACAAAACACAGCAAGGATCAATTTGTAATCCCCCTTTTGATTAGTACATCTTTAGTCTTCAAAACCTGTTTAATAGAGTTAACCATGTGTAATAAAAGCATGGCTAGGCACGTTACCTCCATACCAGACTCTCCACGACACCATGCCTTGGCTTGAGCTTTCCTTCTTAACCTCTCATAGCAACTAGCTATGGTAAATTTCCTAGAGCCATTGAGTTTCCATTTTGGCTTGTCTAAACCAGGATTTATATCCTGCTACGTAATCTCAGCAGATAGTGTAAGAAACTTTCTAATAAAATTGACAGGGATGTTCCAACTACCATTTTGAATCCATTGGTTCACCTCAGTCTTCAAACCCCAAGTTTGCAGTTCCTCTAAATTAACTTGTTCAACAATGGAGCAGTCTCGAAACCACCAATCAAGAAATAAGAAGGTTGAGGAGCCATCATAGACCTTTATATTAATTAACTCCTTCGCTGCAGACCTCAATTGAAGTATATTTCACCAAGACCAGGGACAATCCAGGTAACATGAAAACATTTTGGTTTCATGGCACAGCAGACTAGTAGACCAATTAAATTAAACTATTGATCTAACAGGATTAAAAAAAAAAAAAAATCCCCATAAACCACCACAAGATGATTCAATCTAAAATTTTCAAAAATCAATATGGACATAAATAACTAAAATTTTACTAACTCCTAGGCTATAATCTTTACCAAACACAAGTAAATTAAATAACTTTGATACTATGAGCCACGAGAGAATCAAATCCAAGTAGACCTAATACATTATTTTTTAATAGCAAATTGAAACAGCTAGACAGCCTAGACCCAAGAGTAAAGAAGAGAGAGCCAAAAATAACTGAATAACGACAAAGGAATTCTAGATTTTATATGCTGCTATTAATACATACTCTGTGCTAAACTTACTCCATAAACATAGTGATATAATGGCACTTGATCTTACCTTGATAGGTGCATCCCAATTTCTTGGGGTTGAGTTCGGACCCTCACCTCCCATTTCATACTTGTTAAAAAAAAAAAAAAAACACAGTGATATAATGACTCCCTAGACCATCTCAAATGTCCAGCTTGAAAGACGGAAAGATGTCCTCCCTTGAAGTTTTTGTAAAAATGTCAAAAAAGTTAAATTAGATGAAAATGTGGCTGCCGCTGAATTTTTCTTCTACTTTTCCAAGGTCAGGACGGTCTTACAGCGTCTCAATTTATTTTATTTTATTTTAAATAACACAATAAAAATAACTATGACTTATCTTAATTTCATTTCACAGTAATTAAATTCAAATATTTTTTATTTTTGTAAATGAGAAAATATTTTTTAGTCTTAATTGTAAAAAATTATTCAAGATAATACTTGAAAATTATATTGTTTTAATTAATTCTATTTAAAAATAAAAAAATCTTAATTCTTAGAATATAAATAAAAATTATTTTAATTTTATCTCAGAAATTATATTTTATTAAAATAATATAATTTTAAATATTTTTTATCTCAATTTTTTATAAACTTAATTGATAAAATATTAAATAATTTATCATTAAACTAAATATAAAAAAAAATCATTATTAAACTATTGACAATAAACATGAACTATAGCGTCTCGAGCTTAAACCCTTGACCGACCCACTATATAAGCCGGTGCGAGGCCAGGACCGTTGATCTGTTTTGGACCGGATTTGACCGGGACCATTTCTGAGCCCTCAACTGACCATCTCAATAATGCTGTTTGTTGGCTGCCTAACCGGACGGTGTAGGATCTCCATCTCAACTAAAAGCTATAACCTTTTTTTTTTTTTTACATCCCGAATTACATTGCACTTTTTTTAATTTAGAATCAAATGATGTTGGAGTTTTATTTCAAAAAATTTTTTAATTTTATTTATAATATTTTTTTTTTTAAAACATTTTGACACAGGACGGGTTCGAAATTCGTCCAAGAGATGGGAGAATACACCTAGCAAACTGACTAATGCCAGTGAGCCTCTAAGCTCAGCTACAATTTTATTTATAATACTTAAATTTAAAATTTTATTTTAAAAAAATAAAATAAAATGCCTTCAACTCACCGTTAATTGTCGGATTTTTATGATTTTAACCTCCAATTCATCCTTTGATACCGGCAACGGCCTTTCGACTCAAATCCTTCAACTTGCAGTTAAAACCGCACAGAAAAGGTTCACATCGTTGAGCGTACACAACGTGTTTGATATAATATCCCAGAGACGTAAACTTCCTCTGCCAGCTATGTTGCTCTATGATCTCTATGATGGGTTCAAGGAAATCCTCAAGATTCAAAAGTTTGGCAGACTTGTTTCCTACACTGGGTTCTTCTGCTTCGCTGCTCTTATAAGCTATGCCAATACAAGCAACACGTAGGTCAAATGTAACTCCAAAATTTTGATGTTTGGAAATTTTAGTATTCAACGTCTGGGCAATGTGAAAATGCGTCTGGGTTTTGATGTTTTTGTTGTTTTTAGTACTGTTATATGGTGGATTCTGTCTAATTTCTCTTTTTCTTGTGAATGATGATGGTATGAGTATGACTGTGATGCTTTTGTTGTTGCAGAACTAGAGCTGGGTATTCGAGAGCTGACCAATTCTATGCATCTTATCCTGCTGGAACTGAACTTTTAACAGACACGGCTAAGGTGATTTTTGTTTTAGTAATTTTAGACGTGGGTTCTTTACATACATTATCTACTTCATTGATATTTGTTTGTTTATTGTTGCTTTTAGATGTGATATTTGTGTTTTTGTTGTGTTACAGTTATATAAAGCAGCACTTGGCAATTGCTTTGAGACAGAAGATTGGGATCCAATTGAATTCTGCATCATGGCTAAACACTTTGAACGTCAAGGGAAATCACCTTACGCTTATCATGCTGTAAGTTTCAAGATGTAAATATATTGGCTGAATATATATAAGTGCCCCATGTTGTACTTAATGCTCTCATTTATCTTGCATCCAAGATATAATGTGTTCTCTGAGATTTTAGGAAGGTTGGCAAACTTAATTAGATGGAATATTACATATGTGTTTTTAATGTGCCTTGCATAGTGGTTTGCTTGATTAATGAGGACTTGTAGAAATTCAGAGGTAACCAAAGA